ACGCAACAACAAAAGAATCAGGTACCTGATTATTCTATGTATTCTCCATAAACCACTCCCAGTGGCCCAGGCATATGAAAATGAAGGTCAGTGAAACCAGTTGAAGAAAGGACCACTTTTCTCAAATGCTCTGTGTTATTATGATCCTGATGGACATTTGGGGGAAGCATTCACTAGAGGTTGCCCTAGCCCACTATCTTTTCAGGATAATTCCATTTCCTTCAGGACAGGTGGCTGAAGAGTACAGGTAAAGCACATGAAGGTAAGTCACTGGTAACACCGAAGACGAGGAACAGAAAGAGAAATAGAAATGGGAAGAGAGGAGAACATACCGTCTATTACCTACCTACATTCACATCTGTAAGTCATTCTATCCACATGTTGATCTTTCACTCACCTTATTCAACAGAATGGGGTGTCTGGATATCAACTAGTACTTTTAAATTGTAATAATGATTCATAACGTTTAGAAAGGAATGCTTCCAAAGTCACAAGCAGAGATATGACACTAAGATGTCTCCAACAGATCTTGTCACCAAAAGCAAAACCAATGAAACAACATCTGTCTCTTCTAGAGCTTTCAATTCCCAATTCAATTCCACTTACTCCATCTTTAGAGTGGCGGACCCGCAGGGCACTTTTCATCTAGTAATGTTTCTATGGAAACGCCATTCTCAACCTGGAAGATTCTACAACCCCTCACACAGGCTTTATCCACCATGAAAGGAAACTCATAAATCAGAAATCAAGACTTAGATTTGGCCCCTCCACACACAAATATTTCCCAAGCTAAAAGTTCACACACACAAATTAAAGAAATAAAAGAAAACAAAATCACATAGCAAATATGTGTATCTGGTTTAGAAACAAAATTTGTCACAGTTGCAAGGCTCAACTGGAGAGATCCCCAAGATCAGTGGAAGGATGGGCAGTCACACAGAATGTGAATAAAAATAATTTCACCTTCAGGACACCTCCCCCAGTTAACCTTCAGAGTCACTTCCCCAGCTATCAATGGCAAATATTGACTCTTGAATGCTTTTTTTCACCTGAATCTGCAGGTGTGCATTTTAAATACTTCCCTCTTTCTAACTTTCAGGATTCCAGGGATACATAGTGACTTGGAGCAGAAAAATGTAGTTGCTGCATATTTTAAAGAAAAATCATGATAAGTGCTTTTCTATCAAGATTATATTTGAAACTGCTATACGATAGGAAGGGAAGCAAAAAAGAAAAAAGACCCATGATTTTTACCTCATTGACTCCTTTTGCTCATTTTCACTAGGCTCTTGAATACATATCTTTGTATGATGATGCACTAAAGAAACATAATATTCAAAACATGACTAGCTTAAGCACTATGGCATAGTAGGCTGTTACAGTTGGAATAATGACTTAAAAAGGGGGAAAAAAACTTTGATGTGACATGTCTCTGAGCTGATTGTGACTAGATGCAAATATTAAGCACTTTTTAATTGTTTGTAATAATTTATCTTCAGGCAAATGGAAACATTTCTATTAATAAGTGCTTTTTCTTCTTTCTAATTTTCTCTTATTATCTAAATCATGTCAGTCATTCTTTTCAGTTCCAGGGAACTGTTTTTTTTTGTTTTGTTTTTAAGAGACCTTCTCTACTATCAGTCCTGGCAAATGTCCAACTAAGACTGAGCTGGAAATGTGCCACACTAAAATTTCCTTTCGCTCCATAATCACCAAACTTTAAAACCTGTTTCCTTTTCTTTTACTGTTTTCATTATACACAAGTATGTGCAGTTCAACTTGCTAGAGACGGAATCCAAAAAGGAGCTTTTAGTTCTCTCTTTGGAGTAGTAAAATGTGCTACTGATTAAATCTACCTGTGGATAACTACAGACCAGCACATTTTTCTTCTCATGCAGCTGGGGTGCAAATCCAGAAAGGTTTTTTATTCAGGGCCTATTCTACTCCTCTAACACAAAAATGCTTGAAAGCCCTTTCAGGGGCAGATTTTTTTAACTGAATAAACTCAATGAAAGGATTGATCCATTTATTTTAAAAAGAAAACAATAACAATTTGCTTTCAGTAAGATGTGTGAGGTTTGAGAATAACCTTTTGGCATTTAAAAAGACTCATTTACAATTTCCTAATAAATTGTTATTGCCATTGTTTTAACTAGCCAGCGTTTCAACTGCTCCTTTATATTGAACAAAAATTCAGAAAGGATTTTCCACATAAATAGCATTAATCTCATAATCTCATAATCATTTAAAACTTGCACACAGTCTCCCTAATGAATTGTACATCCTTGAAGATCTCTCTGAACTTAAAGCTACTAAAAGATTAGTACTGAGACATCAGTTGTTACTTACATTTGGACAAACAATAATAAAACTCTCTTTAAAATCTATACTCTTTCCACAGACTTTATTGGAATTAGCTACTGACTATAAACATACCTAAGAAGTCCAGAGGATAGGAAAAACAAAGGGAAGTCTGCACATGTGGATGGAAATCTGTTTACTCTTGAAATTAGAGGGGTGGGAGGGAATCTTTCTTATTGAGAGACAGAATGGGGGAAAAATTTTCAACTCTTCACTCTGCTTTTGAGATGATGTTGTACGAGCAATTAGCTTTTCAGAGATTGTTATCATTATCCATATTTCCATATGTGCAGATGGCACTAGAGTGGGCAGGGGGATAGAAATACCCCCTGGAAACCATAAGGCAACTTCTGTGAACATTCATAGAAAGCCAGAGAGTCCATCCTTTTGTGTTTGGGAGAAGAATGGACTTCCCCTTCCAGGGCAGAGACACAGGCCAGCAAAAATCCTGACACTGAAGGCAACTAGCCAGGCTTCAAGAAATCAGGCAGCTCATGAATAATTTCTATTATATTTGCCCCAACAATGTAGAGTCCACATAAGCATTGCAATGCAGGTAAAATCACACTATTAGAAAGGATTTTTTTTTTCTGTGTGTGTGTGTGTGTGTGTGTGTGTGTGTGTGTGTATGTTTAAAATGATAGAGCTCTCTGCAAGGTTCTTCACAAGGGTACAGCTTAGAAAAACAGAAAAACTGGCAGATGAATAAAATAACTTGCTTCTCTCTCCTGATTCTATCTGAACCAATATTTGATTATATTTTATTCAGGGGCACCTAAACTTCAGGCAAAGCCAAAGCTCCTTCAGAGATTGAGACAGGGGCTGAAGAATCTATTCATTCTTCCCAGTAGGACAGGAAATAGAAGTAGTTTGATTTAGATTTCGGGGCTATCTTCATTTCATCCCCACAAACCACAGTAGTTAGCTGCGTAGCTCTGGTGATGAAATATCAGCACCCTCGCAGGCACCTTTGACTAACTGTCCTTCTTATCTAAATGTCACACTATTGTTTGTTATGATATGCCCTGCTTATCCCAGTCCTCCCTCCCCTCCCCCACCCTGTTCACTAATGGTTTCCTCAATAGGAAACTTGTACAAGGTATAGATTTCAAATATTTACATACATGCAACAAGTGTCAGATAAGTAATGGTCAGATCTAGGTAAGCCTAATATGATGTCACTGTCAAAACAGCTACACCAATCTGAATCTTTGACTAACTTCTAGCATTAACCAACCTCTGAAGTTTACTCTAAAATGCTCAGCAATCTAGATATTTGGATTTATAAGAAGAGGAGAGAAGAAACTAACTTTTTTTCTCTCTCTCTCTGTTGTCTCTCTTCTCCTGATGCTCTTGAGTTTTTATGTTACTCACCAATATTGGAAAATATAGGTTAACTTATACCTTTTAAGTATTATTGAAGGTATAGTCTCTACTTGGAGTTCTAGAACCAAGGTGGCCTTCAAACATCCCCCAAGTTTACCTCTCCACCAGGACCACTCACGGAGTAACATGACTTGGAGCAAAAGAGTGAGAGTTAATTGTCTACAGAAATATTTGTGACGGTGCAGAATTAACCCTGATATTTGGGGGGAGGATGATTTTTAAGAAAAGCAAACTAAGCTAAAAATAGTAACATAAAGATTTGCTCCTGACATTTAAAAAAAGTCAAGTTTTTAACATGCATTCATCTATGTAGCTACGCTACAACCTTATGCTACAACAAATTATCCTTTGTTTCTATTATTGAAAATCTCCTGGTCAACAGTCTTGCTGATTTTAAAAATATTATTTTGTCCATAAATTTTCATTTTGTCTTCTTCTTTAGATGTCATTAAATCTGTATGCACTTACAAAAATATCCACCAAAATATTATGATTGTAAATATTTTGAACATGAAATTTATTCAGAACAATAACCAAACGAAACAAATCCCCCTGTGGCATAAAGCCCAAAACTCTAGTTTCTCACATCTCCAGGAGAATTCCTGCAGTGAAAACAGCAATGCTCACACAGACAATATAAACTGTTACTCTGCTTGAAAAGTCACAAGGGACTGCACAGGAAGAGTGACTATATATTGCTGTTTTCCTTTACAGTTCTAAGTGCAGGGACAACTTTCACTGGGGAGCTCTGACTCACACGGATATTTTGTAATGGGATCGGGTATATTCAAGCCACTTAACAGAAACTGATGTGATCAGCTCGCCATTGCAACTTGATTTAAGTTTTTGTGGACCCTTCACTGTTAAGGTCCACTGAAGCACTCACTAATGATATTAAGCCTTTCTGTCTGGATTCCTCTCACTTTCTTTTCGGTAGTGGTTTGTTTTAAGTACTTCAGCATCACACTTAGTAAAAGCAACATCATTAACATACATACTTAAAAAAATCACAAGTGCACACAAACTCCTCAACCTTATAATTCATGAAAGTTAACAAAATTGCAATAGAGATCTTCAAACAAAATTCCTTATTTGGGGTATGGAGCTAGGAAACAAGAACTAATACTTCAGCAAAAACTGTGAGAACACAGTGGTTTATGAAATATTGCAAGTCCAGAGGGATCACTTTTTTCTCTATCAAAACTGGTCATTGCCCATATTTAGTTTACATATGTCATTTAGAATCCACTTACTGTTAGATGCTGGAACAGCCACGCCCTCATGATATTTGTGGCTACTTTGGGAAAGATGCCACGCTTTTTGTGACGCTTTTTGTCCTTATCAGGGTCATCATCGTCACCTGTGCTGGGGGAAGCTACACTGTTGTCCAAGCCATCACCTGCAAACATAGTGAATCAAATTTTGACTGATGCTACCTTGACATGCTTTATTCAAATAGAATGCCTTTGGATATAAACAAAACCAAAAGAGCAATTTAAATGATTAATAGTTTCTTTGGTACTTTTTTTTTTTCAAGACAAAGAGAAAGAACAAGACCTAGGCTCAAAAGTAATCAGGTCTAAAGAAATCTTCCAAAGAACAGTGCTAAAGGTCAAAGGGAATGGAAGGAAATATCCAATCTCTTTAGTGGCTTTGTTGCCATGGTAATTATTCCAATATGTATAACTGAGACACGTTATGTGTAACTCTACTGGGCATTTAAAATATGATGGCAGCCATACCAGTGACACTGTCACTGTCTGGGTATTGAACCCCACATATAGTCATTGATATCAACTTGTAAGAAGATGCGTTTAAGATATCAATTATTTCCACCAGTGACTTATCTGGAGACTATTTGAACTAGGATGGAGAAATGTAGGTAATCCATCATATAAGCAGTTTGACATAGGAATGCTTCAAATAGAATATAAATTTTCTTATAATAGAAAGAGCATTAAGTTTAGTAAGGGAAAAAGCCTGTCATAGTACTTTAATTAGAAAACAATTACTATTTAAATGAAATAAAGTAATGCTAAATAAACAAGCTGGAATCATATTACACTAATAACACAAGCAGTATCTAAAAGTCTAGGTTTAAATTTTTGTCACGGAAAAACAACCTAGTAACATATTCTTTTGTGCTAGATCATTTTTTAAATGGATTTTTGTTGTAAAATTAAAATAGTTTTTTTTTCCTAGAAGATATTTTGGCTGTGTGATACCATGAAATAAAAAAATGGTATTCCTTTATAGTGCTATATTTGATAAGAAAAAAATGAAATTTCCACCTATAAAATCACAGTGTCCAAAGTAAGTCACAAGGTCCAAATGGGAGGTAGGTATTTTCTGTCTTGGCAACAAAATCAAAAGGGAAAACAATGGATTCAACCCACACATAAGTAGCTAAGCTTCTGTCAAACTCTCTTCCACTGAGCTTCTTGGGGCCACACTCTCCACTGGAAATACCGGCTCTTAGCAAATGAGCAGGTTGATCTGAGCCCCAAAAGAAGAGCTACAAAGGCCAGGCTTAGAGGTGAGGTAAGGAATACATCCCAAAACACATTTGCTGGCTTTATAAGTCATTGGAGAGCATCTACATACCCCGAAGAACCTGATACCTTGGTAAGACAAGTTTCCCAGTGACTGTACATTGGAAATAGCTTCTGATTCTTTTACATAGGTTCATGAGCTTGTGTATTGCTCATTTCCATTTGTGAGGTCCTACAGACAGAAAGAATTCTCTATTTTGATTTCAGTTACTCAGTCTTAATTTATAGGAGTTATGTTGTAACCAATCAGTTGTTCTTAACAGTTGCCTCAGGAGATCTTCCCCGTTCCTTGGGAAAAGAAGATGCCCTCCAAGTTTTGTTTTTTTGTTTTTTTTTCAGTTGCCTTGACATACTGAGGTAAATGTGAAAACCTTCACTGGGTGAGGAACAGACTAATTTGAACATTACTACTATTCTTATGGTGTATGCCACAAATACAAAACTTTTGCAGAACTTACTGAGTTTAAGCTTTTATTAAAGTCCATAACTGTACTATATTTATAATCTTTAATATACATTGTTAAAGTTAGACAGAATCATAGCCTGAGTTCTGATGAAAAGATCATGAAGACCCCCAAACCTCAAGTCATCACTGCCTCAGTGAAGAAAGTCCTGTGTTTTGTGGCTGGTTCAAGGTCACGTGGCTATAGTGTGGCGCTTCTGGGTCTTGAACCGGACCAGACACCCACATCCTTAAATCAATGCCCCTTCCACCCTACTGAGGTCTTTATTTGCATAACCGAGTGTTTTATGAGAAATCCCCTTGGGTTTGCCTAATAAATTCTTTGAAAGTCCAGTATTTAAAGAGGCTTTTTATACAGAGAAGCAATTCACCATATAAAATAACAATTCATTAAAAAAACATGAGAAAAGAAAACAACTCCAAAGATTTCAAATTTCCATGGGCTAATCCACTTTCAATATGCAAAAGGTAGCCAAGGAAAATAAATATATTACTTGATCATTGATTAAACATGAAACGCTTCTAACCTAACATGACTGCATTTCCCTACCTCTCCATGATTGTTTTCCACCTCTAAAAAAAAAATAGCGTTCTTATCCATCTCAAACCCCCTCAGATTAATTTAGTAAGCAATGCCTAGTGCCTGCCTAGAAGAGAATTCATTGATAATTTATGGAAATATCTACTATAATCCAGTGGAGATGACTTTTTTCCAGCTTTGTGCATCAATAGATAATCAAGGCCTTAAAGCAGCCTCAGCTTCCCATTACCTCAGGCAAAAGAATTCCTGAAAGCGTGCCTGGAGGGCACCTGAATTATATACTCCATTAGGAGAGGAAGGCTTTCTGCATTCCATGTGTAACACTCACCAGAACCTTTCCTGTTTATTTCTGCTGTATGAAAGCAGAAGCATTAGGAACAGAATTTTTTAAGTGAAGACTTATGTACATACAATGGGGAAACCTTTCAAGCAGGAGCCAGATCACCCCCTTCAGTCCCTGGCAGTGACCTCTCCCGAATAAAAGGTTTCTATTACATCATTAGCTCAAGCCAAAAACAGCCTTGGCTTAATGCACAGTTTGTTCTTCCTACTGTTTTTAGGCAAATACAGCTACTTTACTCCCATCTGGGAGGGAAATTACACTGCTGGGTTGTAATCTAAGACAAGATTTTCATTGGAAGCAAATGCTTTCAATCCAGTGTAAATACTGGTGCATGTTCAGAAAAGCCTAAAACAATAAACCCTGCTCCTTTCCGACACAGTTAGGGAAATGGAGAAGATGGGGAAGGAGAAGAGCATAATAAAACAGACTATTCTCAAAGCAAACACTTTCAGAGATTTTAATAAATTGTTTAACCTCTTCCACTTTCGAAAATTGAAAATTGATCTCAGAACGTCTCGACCTCAGAGGAGAGTCTAAATGGTCAATTGTACCTTTAGCATTTCCATTCACTCTGCAATTTGATACAGTCACCTCTCTGCAGTCTCTGGAGGATTTATTTCCTTTTTTTATTTTTAAGATCACTAAACAAACTTGGAAAACCGCCGGCCGACCACACGGCAGCAGGCAGCAGCTCTGAACCACATTTGTAAAATGTCAGCAGTGACTTCATTCCTGGAGCTGACTTCTTCTGCCGCCAAATGAAGGCAAACTGAAAAGGTGGAAATAATCATAAAAATGATGCTAGTCCATAAACAAGCTTACAGCCTCATTAGGATAGCAGTAGGCTCCAGTGGGTGATTTATGCTCATTTTGCTGATGCTATGAGGAAATGCCATAGGGCAACTTTAGCCAACTGCTAATGGTTTTTGACAGCTTCTTAGCAACTAGTGCAAGCAACGTTGTGGCGTTTGCTAGTGACAGAAACCGAAAATGTCATATTATCTGCCCATGTGTCATGAAGTCCGTGTGGCAATTAACTAGTAGGCCAGTGACTGTGGGGCCAGAGGCTCCTGGAAATGGCCTTTGGCTATGCGGAGGCAGCCAGCGGGCCCTGGGCACACACTGGCTGTACAAATGTATCGTTCTAATGCAGAAATCCACTCCCTGCCACCTCTGGGCTCCAATAAGACCACCATTCAGGTCCCTTTCTTCCCCCTCACTGAAGGGACACTGGGTCTCCCTCGGTCTCTCTCAGTCTCTCTCAGTCTCTCTCGGTCTCTCTCTCTCTCTCTCTCTCTCTCTCTCCTTCCCTCTTTCTCAGTCTCTCTCCGTACCTCCCCCCTGCTATGTACCTCCCCCCTGCTATTGGAAGAGTTGAGGGCAATGTAACTTGATATGATTCTCTGACTGGCTCTTTAATTGGCAATACCTGGTTCTGTGCTCTTGGGCCCTGGATTCAAAGGTGCTAACTATTTTTCGGCTCTCTTTCAAATTAGTCTAAAAGGATTTAAGATCACTGAAGCAGACTCATTGCCTGTCAGATTGCACAGAGCAAAGGAACTCTGCACAGCAACAAGACACTATTTAAAAAACACCCAGCTTCTAACAAGCAGGAGGAGAATCTTGGCCACACTTTGCAGTTTCCGAGCTATCAAAACCATGCACTGTATGTCAAACTGTCAAATCTTTCAGCGTGGGCCATTTGCCCTTTCAAATAATATTTAAGAATTGTTTTTACAAAATTTTATAGGCCATGGTCTAGTGAAAGAGGCCAGCCAACAAAGAAAGGAATTTGTACTACAATTCGTCTACGGACAATTTCTTGTGAGACCTGGGCCTGTCCCTATGGAGCAAGGCAGGTGACCTGTGGCAGCTCCCAGGCTGTCAGAGAGCTCAGATTTCAAACATGCTCAACTCAAACATCCCAGTCGCCTATTTAAGCATGCCCGGGCATTTAGACTGTGCTATCTCCTGCCTTTCAAGGCGGGATAAAGCGGCATTTATCGTATTCAGGCCATTCAATGGGTCAGACTGACCGTGTCAGCAGGGGATCCTCTCTGGCAGGTCAAAGCTCTGCTTCCATTTTTCTCCCCCTACTAACTCCCTCTCTCCGCCTAGGGCTGCAATTCCCAAAATCCTGCTGGGAGTGAGGTGAAAAAACACCCACCCACACTCACACACACCAAAAAAACTCACCTAGGATTTACATCATAACTGATTGGAACTCCTTGCGCCGGTGGGCCCTCAGGTAGAAGTAAAATGGGTTGTCCTTCACAGGGCACTCTACGTCACAGAGGCAAAACCCCTAATGAGGGGTATGAACTTTCAACTGCCAGGGCAAATGCACGTGTAAGGTTTTGCACCCTTTTGTTTGGCTGGAAGCCAAGCTAGAAGCCACCATAGATTCAAGAATACTTTCATCTATGGTTTTGTTTTGAGGACCCCATAGGTGTGAGACATATCCTATCTGTACTATTTTCTTTTCTCCTCTTGCAGTATT